TTTCTGGATTTCACCTTACACGCCTTCCATTCGAAATATGATCCTTTAGTCAAAACATATTGACATTTAATGATTTAAGTTTGAAGCTTCAGCGGATGCATATCTTAAATTTGCATCCACCCTCCAAAATTTCCAGATTTGATAATCTTGACTATGATAATCATGAATATGAAACAAAATAAAATAAAATTTGAAATTTGGCTTCCTTCCTTCTTCTTTTTTCCTTTCTTTTTTCTTTCCTTTTTTTTTTTTTTTTTTTTTTTTTCTTTTTTTTTTATTTTTTTTTATTTACATTTTTACAGATGCAACAACTTTTATTACAAATGGACTACAATGGATGTCTAAGACGTGAGGGGACACAATCCAATAACTACGCGATTGGACTGAATTCCCTCGTGCATCGAATCCGTTTTGTCCTAACTGAGGCCCAGCCTAGTTTCACTCTACACTCAATTTCACTTTTAGGTCCAAACTCCAAATCATGACCATATAGAAAACTCTATTTCTACTGCATTCCCATTAGCAAACCCAATTTTTTCGGTTCTCTAACACAAATAGAGTCTTTTAGGAATCGGCCTTGGGTTAAGACGGTAGCAGCTAGGTTTTCATATCACTACATCTCAATTTTCATGCTGACGTAACCCTGTCAAAAAACCAAACAAACATTAATCTCAATTTCCATGCTTACGTAACCTTGTCAAAAAACCAAACAAACCTTAATAGATTCCCATATTTTGGCCCTTGCTGATTTTCCAGTGGCCCCCCCTTCAGGCACTAATTGTGCTACATTAAAAGTGTTAGATCCACTAACTTTTGAGTACAAAAACAGTGATTGCGTTAGACTGGTACGCACAAATCACTACTTTTGTTTTCACAACTTGTGATCGTCACCGTTGGCAAAATATCTACTCTAGCTTCTTTTTAATTCATTACTTATTCGAAAAAGTTTATAGAGTAAATATTACAATAGTTGGGCAATTATAATGAACAATAATATAAGTAGAATCTTAGCCGTCAGATCTTCATCATATGGTTCAAACTGCATATCACTATATAAATTTTAATTTTTTTCTATAAATCTGAGTAAGATGAAATTTTCGGTGTATATACCTAATACTATTGCGCACTATATAAAAGAAAGAGTCTTTACCGTTCAGGTCATTTTGAGTTTGCCATGGCTGGTTGCCTGTTGGGAGGGGCTTCAAAGCCAATGGCATCTATAAGATATTTTGGCCACATAAATTGTGCTTCTTTGGGAGCTAAGTTTACTTCTACTCCCTCAGTCTAATTGGGAGAAGTTTTTCAATATGAAATTTTGTGATCCACCTAATAATCTCTAGAAGATTATTCTCAAAAAAAAGAATTTGAAATTAAGTATTCTAGCACTTAGATCTTGTCATATAAAAAGAGGATCTCCATTCTATCTCAGTTATGTTCAAGTGCATAGAGGATATAGAGGATGCAATTACAAAACTTTTTTTATTAAAGTTAATATATAGAATTATATCCTTAAAATTTGAGATCTTAAAATTAATTCTAAATAGATTTTACCCAAAGGAATAAATAGACAGTATAGTCCCGACGAGAATACTATATCCCTCTTTGGAAAAAATTATAAGGTTGCAATCTTAAAATATAGAATTAAAGGCACACCTCAAAAATCCATCAGAAAAGGTCATTTTAAAGTTGAAAAACCCTCTAATTGATCATCTCAACATTGAGATATAGGAATATAGAAAAAAAAAAAAAAAAAAGATGTTAAATCTCGGAAATAGTGCATCTTACAACACGTTATCGAAACTGTCTATTTTTAATATTTTTATGTGTATAGATCTACTTGATTTTAACTATTTTTAAAGTTTAGAATTTATAATTAAATATGAAAATAAATTTTCAAATAATCCAAAAATACATTTACACCAAAATTAATGATAAATTTTGGAGGTGCACATTTTACTTAAATTGTTTGAGGTTGCAACTTTATAAAACAACATCTTGGACTGCACTGAGCATTTGTACTCTTTTCCAAATTGCGTCTCGCTTGCATCAATTAATTTTCAGGTACTTGCAACTTGCCAGTTGCTACCCCCCACTCGCCAGCACAAAGCTGCCTCCCCCTTTCTCTCTCTCCCTCTTTTCTCATTCTCTCTTCTCCTCTCTCTCCTCTATTTCCATACTTTTACTAAACCCAAAACAAAGTAATCAACTTTCACTCATTATTGCCAACTCAAACTGTCATATTCAAAGTTAGTAATTAAAAAAAAAAAAACATGTTATTTTGCTTCCCTGTGCAAACAGCAGAAGAAATAAAAAGCTACCATATAATAGAAAAAAAAGAAGGAACTATCATCAATTTTAAGCCAGTGTATTTTACTTCTCAGAAGTCCTATTTGGGAGGATTTTTAAACGAGAAATTTTATATAAGTGCAAGGCTCTAACAATCAAATTAGGGCGTACCTAAAAAATTTCACTAGAGCACGTTGTTTTGATGTTTAAATATCTTTTAAATGGTCATCTTGACCTCAAAATGCATAGGCATGAGAAAAAAATGGATTTTAATTTTTGGAGATAGAACATCTTGTAATGCATTTCTGGACTTTCAATTTTCAAGATTTTCAAGTTTACATATCTCTGCTTGATCTACACTATTTTTTTAAGCTTTAAATTGTATAATTATAGATGCAAATATATTTTAAGGTAATCACAAAGATTTGCAATATTGAAACCACATTTTTCAACATTATTTGAAAGTGCGCTTTACTTTGATTGTTTAGAGCCTCATACTTATACAAGCCGCACCCTTTTTTAAATGAGAAATTTTGAAAATCTCTTAAAAGTTACTAGATGATTATTACTAGAAAATAATTTAAAATATGAGTTTCTACACTTAGATTTTATCATCTAGGGAAGGATTATAGTTTACTTCTACTCCCTCTATCCGAAGACCTTTATGGGAGGATTTTTTTAAGGAAAAAGTTTATGTAAGGTTGCAACCTTAAAATGTATAAAGATGCACCTCCAAAGTCCATCGGAAAAGGTTGTTTTAATGTTGACAAATCCTCTAATTGATCATCTCGACATCGAGATGTATGAATATGAAAAAAAAAAATATTTTGAGTCCAAAAGTAGTTCATCTTGCAACACATTATCTAGGCCGTCCATTTTCAAGTTTTTTATATGCTTATAGATCTACTTGATTTTAATCAATTTTGGAATTAACATTTTATAATTAGATATGAAAATAGATTTTGAAATATTGTTAGAAATTTTTATACCAAAATTACAAGTTATGATAAAACTTTGAGGTGCGCTTTAATTGAATTGTTTAAGGCGTCAACCTTATAGAAACCACACCTTTTTTTTAATCTAAAATTTCGAAAATCACTTAAAAGTTACTAGAGGATTATTCTTAGAAAATAATTTGAAATTTGAGTTTCTAACACTTAGATTTCACCATCTAAAATTCGATAGTATCTATTCAATCTCATAATATTATTTTTTCATGTACATAGAGTACAACGAAAACAAACTATTTTGAATAGATTATAGAAAAAATTAAATATATTGATTATTTTAAATATTATTGTAATATCGCCTAAAATTTCCGTTATTACTAATCTTCCTATTTCATACATCCTATTACAACATTATGTCAATATTTTTTAAAATTGCGCTTTTCAGATTTCAAGTTCCAATTTTTTTTGCATGAACTAACTATGATTGAACTTTTGGATTTTCAAAATCCAAACTTTTAAATTTTTGGATTTTCAAAATCTGAAAATTACAAAATTAAAAATCTACTATTTCAAAAACCTTTTTGTTTTCTAAAATAAAAAATCAATTAATGAAACTTAACAAATAAGATGTGAAAATCACGCCACAAATAATTTATATTCTCAGAGTAATTAAAAAAAAAAAAAGTTAGCACAAACGTTTTCAAAATATTTGCTCCTTGGACCTCTAAGGTCCGAAATAGTTGACGGATATTGAGTGCCCGTGATGTTTTATATTTCGGATTCTAATGATCCGAAAATAGGGAAATTTCGGACCTAGGGCAATTTCAGAACTTGAAGTTCTAAATTTATTTATTTATTTTGGATCGTGAAGATCCAAAAATAGGGCAATTTTGGAATTTATTTCAGGGTTTCTTAGATCGGGTATACATGTAATATCTCAAAAAATTTAATATAATAAATGAAAATTTTAATTAAAATTGTAATAATACTTAAAATAACAAATATATATGTACTTATTTTCAGATTGTATACCCAAAATTTAGAATTGTAATTCTAGAAAGGCTTTTATCCAGCAAAGTTGATAAACATTCCAGATGTATGTCACAGTAGAAAGAGAAATGGTGCACTTTGTATAAAGTCAAGGCTCTAAACAATCAAAGTAAAACACACATTCCCATAGTGTTGAGAAATGTGGTTTCAATATTGAAAATTTTGTGATAGCCTTAAAATATATTATCATATTTAATTATAAAATTTAAAGTTTCAACAATAGAGTAGATCAAGCCTCTATGAAAACTTGAAGATCTTGAAAATTGACGGTCAAAAAATACATTACAATATATATTATTTTCAAAACTTGAAATCCATTTTTCTCATGGTGAATGTCGATATGATTAATTTGAAGATATAGAGACATCAAAACCGTCTCTTCTAATGACATTTTTGTAGTGGGCTTTAATTTTAATGAAATTTTTGAGGCGGGCTTGGATTGTTTGAAGCCTGACTTTGAATAAACTTTTTCCAAGGAAAAGAAGACCCATTTCACCTTCATTAATTGTCTAGTCTTTATAACCAGGTGATGCTCGGGCTTATAAATACAGTCCCTATCAAACCTAGAGAGAAAACACCCTGCCCGGATTCAGAACACCATCGAAAGTGAGGGTACTCTCCAACCTTAGAGAGAGACCATCATAAAGCTCAGACTCACTAGAGAGCAACCCCAAGAGAGAGAGAGAGAGAGAGAGAGAGACGAGGAGAGGAGAAGATACACATACTACAATTCTTAGTAGAGAGAGAGAGAGAGGGCAGGAGAGAGAATCCTACAGAGCTTAGAACCCTTAACACTGACCATTAAAGAAACAGAATGCTCCCATAGAAAGTAGATAGAGAAAGGGTTGTAGTGAGAGAAAGATCTAGAGAGAAAAACTTGAAATGGGTCTTCTAGACACTGATTTACAGGGCCAAAATCACAGGTGCGTGTTGGTTAATGGCCCCATAATCATAGGTGCAGGCCCTTCTGGCCTTGCAGCCTCTGCATGTCTCAGAAGCCATGGCGTCCCCTCCATTATTCTTGAAAAAACAGATTGCATTGCCTCTCTGTGGCAATATAGAGCATATCATAGGCTGAAACTCCATCTTCCAAAACATTTCTGTGAGCTGCCATTAATGGATTTTCCTCCGAATTTTCCATTGTATCCAACAAAGCAGCAATTCATTTCTTATATAGAATCATATGCTGAAAAATTTGAAATCAGGCCGGAGTTTAACCGACTGGTTAAATCAGCTTCTTATGATCCAGTCTGTGGGTTCTGGAGAGTGAAAACAGCGGATTTATCAAATGGGTTCTTGGGGAATTTTGTGGAGTACATTGGGAAATGGTTGGTGGTGGCCACCGGTGAGAATGCAGAGCCATTGATACCCGAAATCGATGGTTTGAATAAGTTTTTGGGCCCTGTGTTACATACGAGTGTGTATAAAACAGGGGAGGAGTTCAAAGAACAGAAGGTTTTGGTGGTGGGGTGTGGGAATTCCGGCATGGAGGTCTGCTTGGACTTGTGCAGTCATGGTGCTGAGGCTTACATGGTTGCTAGGAACTCTGTGAGTCTCTCTCTCTCTCTCTC